TTATTTAAAATTAACTAATTTTTTAAGGCTTATGATAAAATTAACAAATTATGATGTTTTTAAGGTACGAGCGGTAGATCAAGATGAAGGAACAAACGGTGAAGTGTGGTACACAATCATTAACGGAAACGAGAATGAATCGTTTTCGTTAAACCGCGAAACGGGCATCCTGTATCCCGCGGCCGCCCTCCTCGGCAGAGCCGGTTCTTATAGGATCGAGGTCGAAGCACGCGACGGCGCCGGAAATGGTCCACATTCGGACAGATGTTACGTCGATATAAGAGTCACGCCTGTGAATCAGCATAAACCGCAGTTTGTGATGCCGGAACTGACAAACGCGACCGTGGAAGTGCCAGAGGTATGTACATATAAGAATGTTTCCTGTTTACATCGAAAATAGAAAAAGAGCATATAGATTTTATAGTTAAGTCAAAATTAAAGTATATGAAATATGAATTTATTATACGAAATATATTAATAGGCGGTTAATTTTCAGAATGCAGGTGTGCCGAATTATCTAATATTAACTGTAAAAGCAATCGACAGAGATCCCGGCGAAAATGGTCGTGTTAGCTATCACTTAAAAGTCGGCAATAGGAACGTTCAGGAAACCGAGGAATTTTCTATAGACCAAGAGACCGGAGAACTTCGATCGAAAATTATCCTCGACCGCGAGATCAAAAGCAAATTTGAAGTAAGTAATATGTTAAATTATTTTCTAACGAGACGACTATAATTCTGTATGTACATTTTCTTTCAGCTTGTTCTTGTAGCGGCCGATCATGGCAGTCCTACGGCGTATGAGACCCTGCGTCTATTAACTGTTCAGTTAGTCGATACAAATGATAACGTGCCGCAATTTTACGAGGAGTATAATTTTCACGTGTCTGAGAATCGACCGAAGGGTTACTTCATTGGCAAAGTTACAGCGGAAGATAAAGACGAGGGCAGACATGCCAAAGTTTACTATTACATAGAAGCAGGTAAATATATTACACTTTTCTTTTAATTATACTTCTCATAATTTCTTGACAGTTACTTTTTGATAAAAAATTGATAGAAAGATTAGTCTTTTTACGATATTTTAATTTTCAATATATTATATATTTTCGCAATTGAAGGTTCAAGTATCTCACGTGTATTGCTCGCTCCTTTAGGAAACGAAGGATACGCCTTTTACATGGATAAATCTGACGGAAGTATCTATGCGAATAAATCGTTTGATCGCGAGACAAGAGACAAATACATTCTCTCTATTCTCGCGTCCAACGATCCCGATCTTTATATCAATCCCACGCAAGCCAGCCGGCCGTTAACTCACAATCCGGAGCATGGCCACGTGAACGTAACAATAATTGTACTAGACGAGAACGATAATCCGCCGATCTTTGAGCGCAACGATTATTATGCCGGCGTAAATTCCATGGCGAATATAAACGATTTTGTGACCAAAGTAACCGCGTCCGACTTAGATGTCGGTGACAACGGTACTCTTCATTACTACGTCGCTAGCGCGAATCTTTACAAATACGGCTCAGAAAAGCCGAGCGGCTCAATAGTGCCAAGCCCATTCAACGTCACGCAGGACGGCAAACTCGTTACGAGCGGATATATGGCAGAGTATAATCAAGATAGGTTTATCGTTGAAGTCATCGCCAAGGAGACGGCCATTCCAGAAAGATATGCGATGACCAGAGTTCATGTAAGCTTCTTACAGTTGTCATTATAATTTAATACTTGATATTAGCAGAGAGAAGACTGAGAGTGGCCACGCCGGCAATTCTAGTGAGTTCTGAAATTGTGGTTGTAAAGGCCCTCATTAGAAATAGGAAACGGAAATCAGAAATGCTGAAAATTTCCAACGTAACAGAAATGCTGTGTCTGTTGCCTGTATCATCGTCCATTCTGCAAACTGATGCATCCTATTGCACTAGATCGCCGGTGTGGCCGCTCTCTCAGTCTTCTCTTTGATATTAGTATTAGTCATTAATATTAACACATAACATTATTAATAATTAACATATTGAATTGTAAGATTTTTCGCATGACACAATTGCCGCGTCAAATATCTGTCTTTATTTCGTCATTTTAATTAATTTTTATCTTTTCTTAAGGTCTGGGTGTTTGAACCATCTCAGCTAATACGTGTCATATTGTCCCGGTCTCCGGAGGACGTGAACAGCGTGCGCGACGAAATTGTTTCGCAGTTATCCAACGCCACGCAAAGCAGAGTCGTAGTGGATGATATCAGATATCACGTTGACGCTTCTGGACATATTCGCAGAGAATGGTAATTGCACACGGATATATGATTCTTTCCCAATCTGTTCTGTCGTAATATTCATATATCACATACAATTTATATAAAATTATTTTTTAGGTGCGATATGTATTTGCACGTCGTCGAACCGAAAACTCAAACCATCGCGCCGATACCTCACGTGCTCAAAGTTATTGATGCAAAATACGATTTCTTAAAGCACTACTATGCCGGATTTGCCATAGAGAATGTCGTGGTGAGTATCTGAGTATTATCGCGATTGTACAAATATGTTTACTTATTTATAATTGAAAACTGCATAAATATGTAATTTATGATTATTTCAGCCCGCATATGCTGGAGTTCAAGAGGAACCGTTCGACCCTGCACTCGCTGCTTTAATAGCTCTCTTAGTTGTCTTACTCGTAGGCGCTGTCACTGTTACAGTAGTTTGTTGTTGTTTACGCCATTGGTAAGAATAACAAGGCTCCAAATGTACTCTCACTTATACATCCAATACATGTAGGTCAATGATGTTTCAGGGTAATAACTGTGCCAAATGATATACGTAAGAAGGACGGCCTAATTAAGAAACAGATCATCGACGAATTGAACACGACGGAGAATCCCCTGTGGATCGAACAGTAAGTCTCGTTTCTTCATACGCATTGGTCTCACGCGAAGATATATGACGAGGTATTTTTCTCGATTGTAGGAAATTGAAGCTCTACGAGGAGCAGGAGTTAACGATGCAAGTGTTCAGCGAGCCCGAGGGTGGTCTCGTCGGCGAGAGACGCGGCAGTGGCGTAAGCGTCGGCATGGGTGACACGTCCCAAGATAACACTTACGCAACCATCCAGCATCCATTGCCTACGAACAGGCATCGTCCGACCACGCCGGATTATACGACACTTCCAGGAAATCACAATGTAAGTCGATTAGTCGAATGAAGCTAATGAGCATTACAGACCGTCAGGCCTCGTTTTACACCGATAGATTCTGATTGGTGATTCTCTTTCTGAGATCATAGTTTTAGCCGTAACATGAATGAAAATTACAACGATCAATGACAGACACACGACTTAGAAGTAACGAAAAGAATATATACATTATATACAGATATATAGAATATCTGCTTTAATTCCGTGTGTCTTTTTGTTTCAAGAACAAATACATATAAAAAAAAGTGTCACACTTAGTGGATATGAATTTTTTTCATTTTACGTTTCAGTTATACGAATCGGCAATGGGTTTTCAAGGATCAACATTCCAGCCTTCCCCGAACGTGATGCCGCAATTGACAGTCGACCGCGACGGCCAGCCCCAGTTCGTTTCAGGGCTAATATAAATCAGCTCTGATACGCGGGCGCGCTCAGCCCATCCTCTCCTTCCCCTTTCTATCTCTAAAATAAGCTCCGTCGCCGTACGTTGTACCTCTTTGTCCGCGGCTCTTTTTCATTGCACGCGCCTCTTCGGAGCGTACTTCGGGCGACTCGCATGCACACACCTCTTTGACAATAACCGAGTTAGATATTGGTCGGGTTTGTCCTGCGAGTAGACGCGTGTACGAGAAGAGCGACACGACACGACACACAAACACGAGACACGACATTCGCGAGATCCGCCCTCTTTCTCACTTGCGTAACCATTTGCCATTTTTTCAGTTCAGACTCTTCCACGAGAGCTTGCGAAAGGACTCATGATGAAGAGTGACGACGAACGACACAGTCAATATTACTGGAGTAATTAATCCCTGTAGCTGGTGTGTGCATGTATATATGTGTGCGTTGCCAACCTGGGGTCCCGTCTGACTTTATCGTTAGAGTCTACTTTTTAGGAGAATCAAAAAAAAGGCAAAAGAAGAGAAAGAGAGAAGAATATAAGCTAGATAAAATAGAATACTGTGAGATAACTCTACACGACCGAAGCTTGGCACGACAGATATATGTATATAAGTGAATGTGTAGATTCCGTCCAGCCCAGTTTTCGTATTATTTTTCCTCGTTAGTTTAGTATTTATGCGTTTCCAAGGGTACGTACGCGTGCGTTCGAAACACGAACGGCATCTCGTACGGATGTTCTACAACGATCACTGCCACGTTTTCGGCATCTACACGGATGCGGTTGTTGTATTCGGTCGGTGAACAAACAATTGCGCCATTGTTACTACACGCACAACAGGACAACGTTTATAATCGAGAGATAGCGCGTATAGTTTTTAAGTTAAATACCGTTAATTTCGTACTAGCGTATATTTATTTAAGGTAGTACATTTAAATGACTGATATTTTTCTCTTCTTTCCGATTGAACTGTGATTTGATTGCGCCCGAGCATGAGTGTGATGATTTAACATTTAAACTCGTAATGATTTTGCACGAGTCGCTGGCGGTGGGCGGACATAGTCATATCATAGTTAGATGAAGTATAATGACGCTCGCAGCGAATTCCAGTGTCATTGCGGCGAAATAATCTTGCCTTCGAAAAAACCGTGTCGACTTTACACTTTAATAGCGACTTCACAAACCGTCCTCGGCTGAGAACACAAAGATCGTGACCTTCGGGAATTCCCTGCGGATGCCACTTTCCGTAAAAAAAATAAAATAAAAACGTATCGCAACTACTCGAGAACAGCAGTAACTTAACTTACGATCGAGTTATTTCTAAGAACATTTAATGTAAAACTATTATCGGTATCATGATATTACTAGATGGTTATGAATATTCCAGTTAGCAAAAGTATCTGTTTTATTAATTACAAATTTATTGTAATATTGTAACATATTTTATGTAAGTCATTAATAAAAAATATTCGTACACCAGATCTTGGACTAGTCTATAAAGTGGATCTGCTTTGAGCTTGATTGGCTTTCTCTGCTTGTATATTGACGTTTACAAAATGGATCAACTTGTAGGGTGATTTTTAGTTTGTTCTTTTACTTTCTCAGGAGTGTCTCCAGAGCCAGGTTTCTGTTTGTTCTTATTCTTTGATTTTGGTGTAAAATCTAACATCTCGACCACTGATTCAGGCTGATCGAGCCATATTTTGTATCCTTTTTTCGTAGGATATCTCTTTGTATTCATGCAAGTTAAACACGTCCATTTGATGCTCTTTACAGGCTTTGATACTAATCTAACTCTGGCTGTCTCTCCAGGTATAAGTGGACTTTGACAGCATTTACAGAGAGTTCTTTTCAAATTTGGTTCCCTAAGATAACAAATCATGAATACAATTTCCATAAATAATACTTTTTTTTTCTCAAAAAGATTGATGAGTCATTTAGAAACTTACATGCGTAATACTGCCTTCTTGGCACAAGCTACCATATTATTGCCAAAGTAAGACGCCGCAACTCGATTCTTTAACGCCATTAGATGACTAGCCTGCAAAGCAATATTAAATGACAATAGCGTCAAAAGTATCTCGTATTTCATCAGATAAAAACTACGCAGGTAGCAAGCTGATGTCATTTGTCGTCAAAACGACGATAAATAACATCAGCATGCTATCTGGACATTGTAATAAGGTAAGTAAAAATCACTTATTGAAGGATGACAAATTTCATAATTATTCGTACCTGATATAAATAATTCATTCGTTCAAAGACGTCTTTGTGCTGACAAAGTTGATTCTTATTTCCTGTAAACATGTGTATATAAATATATGGAACAAATAGATACACATTTAAAAAACATCTTAATAATATTTATCTCACTCATTATAAAATATGTTATCTATTGCTCCAACTTGGACAGAAAATCAGCAATTTGGATTTATATTGTCAAAATTTATATTGCAATAACGAGAATTTAACGCGTCATTCTTGACAACTCCTCAACAATAGTTTCGCACTTTTAAGGTTAGGCTGAGTCGGTTTGGTTAAGATTGCTTCCACTTCCATCATCCATCATGCCAGGATTGTTTACAGCACAGTAAAAATCGATTCAATTTTTTTTGTATGCTTTTTTATTATAAAACTTCTTAATTACAAAATTCTTTGTTACAAAAAATATGTATAAAAATCCGTAATAACTAATTTCTTCTATTTTAATTTCAATTCTAACTCTATTACATCGTAACAGTAGTAAAATTGTAATGTAACCTTAAAGTAACTCAGCTTCATATATTGGCTGCGTTCTGATATTCACTGTCAGTACTAAAAATCTATAGTTTACATCATGTATACTAATTTCAGTACTGGCAGTGAATATCGGAATGCAGCCACTAACGATGTATAAACACAATGCATTTATAGTTCAAGAAAGATTAAAATAAATTATAAATTACTTTATATTTATTTTCTAATCATTATTTTTATCGTTTATCTAGACAGGCACATCTTTCCTTTTTTATGTCGCTGAGAAATTGGAAAAGCAGAAAGTGTATCAAGTTTTGAAAACATTATTTTTCAGTGATATATTAGTTTTTATTCATGGCATATACTATAAGTGCAAGAGACACAATTGTGTTCCTTGATTTTTGCAAAACTTACTGCTGTTATCGGTTCGCGTAAATTGTTCGGTAATCTTCGATCGTACAAAGGTTGAAGTAGTACCGTCTAATCTTAAGAACTTTACGGTATCAAGATTATCTTCTCAATACTTTTGTATTTTGTTTCGAGTAATTTGATTCTTGCACAGATGTGTTGCTTAAAAGTGATCCTTTCCTATTAAGAATCTCTGACTGTAGAACTGACTTTAGACTTTTGATTACAGGCGTCGCGATACCCTTGATCGGATTCCTCTGACTCCCATTCAAACTGTCTGATTCTCTGGATTTAGCCTTGCATTTCCACGTCAAGTCCGGCGTAAACTCGACTTCCATGTCGGGCATCTCTTCAGTAGTCAAAAGATTGTCATTTGCACAATCCTGACTAACGTTTCTAAAAGAGAAGAAAACATCACAGCAACTATGTCTTTGTAGTATGTTTGGTAAAATTGCAAATGCACAGTAACAATCTCTCTCTCAGGGATCGAAAACTTATTCTATCAATTGATTAGACACATAAGCGATGATACCGTACCGTGACTGATTTTCTGAACCGCCGTTACTCTCTTCATAATGATAGCCATATTCCGCTAGAACAATGTCTAAATTGTCGCACTGCCCCTTCAAGTCTTCGTACATTGCTTGTGACTCCTTCAACAACTGATCTGTCTCGTCCAACGATGGCTCCAATTTCGACTTAAGTTTCTCTGCCGCATTCTATTAATGATTAATTGCACAATATATAATCAAATACTCACTTCAGAATTTTCTTTATAGTAAAAAATACACTACTTCTAATGATATCTTATTTTATACATGATTCCAAGCATAAATAATAATAATAATGTCCTACAATACAACGATATTAACGTTTGATAACAGAAATATGACAATTTGTAATGCTCTCAAATGAAATTATAATTAGATAAATGATCATTTCCCTAACCTATTATTAAAGAAATTATTCTAGGAGGTCCCCATAAACTTTTCTCTTTTAGATCATTGTAACTCGGGTCCTAATGCAAATTTTTAAACTACAATTGGTATTTAGAAGTGAAAAGAGTTGTTCTTTCTAAAAATCTAATCGGCAATGGAGTAGGATATCTGAAAAAGAGATATAAAGGCTGAAAGTGGAAGTAAAAAAAGTAAGTGACCCCTGCCTTTTCACTGACAAGTATTCAATTAATAAATAATTCCATCTACCTGTTTGAGTATAAAAAATTGATATAATTATTGTTTGAATGATCCATAACATAAATTCTACTCAAAAAGCTAAGTGAAATCATTTATTAGTTGATTATTTATCAGTAAAAAAGGCAAAACACTTTTCTTTTCGCCTCTATTTCCAACCTTCATATCTTTCTTTTCCAGATATTCCATCCCATCAGCGATTAGATTTTTGGAAAGAGCAACTCTTTTTATCCTTAAATATCAATTGCGGTCTAAATAAAAAAATTTTTATTAGGACCCAAGGATTTAATTATAAAAATGTAATGTTTTTTTACTAGATTGATTAATCAAATCTTATATTTTATATAGTGATTATAAGAGAAAATAATAAAATAATATAATGTGTTTTAATATTTATTAGATTGACTCGATGAAATTATTAACAATAATTTACTTCTTTTTGGTTTTGGTTAATCTTTTCAGTTATTTCTCAGATTCAAAGTTAAGATCCTGGATTTAATTAAGACAAAATTAAAATGTAATTTATTACTTTAAGAGAAATATACAAATCAATATACATACATAAAGCAATATAATTTTTAAATGCATGCAATTTTAATGAGAGAAAAGCACGTGAAGGCCTCCTAGGACCAATGTCAATTAATAATACTTTTTCAGGAAAAATAAAAAGATCACGGTCAAAGTAATCTGTCGCATTGGTTTATGATATTTTTATCTCACGTAAAAAAACTGTTGAAGTTTCGTTAACGCGATCTCTGGGATCAGGTACTCACGCCGGTACTCCGGATAGATTCCCACAACTCCTCCAGGCAGGCATTGGTCTCGGCCGTGCGCTCCGCATAGCCGCCGATGAGGAGATGCGGCGTCTTCCAGGTCTCGGCGAGCCTCTCGATGCCTCCGTCGATCTCGCGCGTCTTGCACCGCAGTCTGTCGAAATAATTCGAGGACGACGCGAACGAATTCTTCTCCATCTCTCGCCTCGCGAGAAATAGTGATGCGCGATTCTGATTCGATTATTTGAGAATCGATTCTTTTTCATGAATTAATCGTGATTATTAATCGATTATTCAGACGGTCGATTATTTGCGAATCGATTCTTTTTTCTTGATAATCGATTTAATCGATTATTTTCAGGGAGCCTATTGGCTCCTACACATGGGACGCAACACGCTTGCGCGCGGCAAGAAGCGACGCGGTAGCCAATCAAAGTTCGCCAACTGTCGCCGCGCGGTAACCGTTACCGTGTTCAGTTGCGCATTCCGTGTGCACGTGCAGCCCATTTTACTTCGAAAGTTCTAATTACGTCTTTATATTAAACAATTTGGTGTGTATCGCCGATTGCGAGCGACTTGGAGCTCGATTTGAAGCGAATGCAGCGAATAATTCCGCCATTACAAGAGTTCCCGGTCGTATTGTTTTATTATTAATAGAAACTCGGCGACGATTCGCTCGTTTCATTGTGTCGATCACGGCGGTGAAACCAGAGGTCGACGAAGACGAACGACAACGACGAGGACAATCCGTAAGTACTATGTGCAGCGTGTAAATTCTCTGTTAATGCTTTATTCTATTACCTGTTTGTAGTGTTTGTACCTTAGATTTACCCAGCTATTCTACGGTTTACTGCTCTTCTACAGGTCCTAAAGCATCAGTCGAAACAGCGAGGTCTCGTATGAGTACGTGAGGAACCGTTAACAACGGCTACGCTCTCCGGCGGAGAACCTCGATCGATTTAGCTTTGCACCATATGATGCCAAATCTAGCGACTTGGATTGGCAAATCGAGCAAGAAACTGCACTTCCGCAGTCCATTAGCTGTTTCTACAGCAATGAGTAAGATATGTCAATTGATGAAAGAAAATCAGAGAGGGAGTCAATCTACTGCTGTCGTAGATAATATATCAAATACTATTGAGAAAACAAAAGATTTGTGGAACGTTCACGATGAATTGATAGCATCTTCATCAACAAACTGCGACGAGCCTGGTGGCGTACCAGTCGAACTTCGACAGTTCCTTAATGCTAATGTCGTCAACAGAAGCGAGGATCCACTAAAAGTTTGGTATAAACTGAAGGATATTTATCCAAAGGTGTACGAAATAGCCATGAAATATTTCGTGATTGTGGGAACGTCTGTCCCATCTGAACGCTTATTTAGTGCTGCTGGAGATATTATTAGCGCAAAAAGAAGCAGAATTACTGGAAAAAGGGCATCGGAGATTATATTTCTAGGATCTCTACCTAAAAAATACTGGACCTAAGTCACAGCGGTGCGGCGTCTCACCCGTATACCACATTATTATTATTCAAAGTTTCATTTTGCCATAACTATTATTCATTTTACCATAACTATTATTATTCAAAGTTTCATTTTGCTTCGTTTATACTTGTACTTGATAAGTCGATTTTGGTAACGAGCGTATTAATGTATTCACTGCAAATTTGTGCAAGTGGGGTATTCTGTTGTAAAAGAATTTCGCGACTTTATGATGAACATGTAATAATTCTTTTTCGTTATTACTTTAGTAACCTTCCATAATTTTAACAAAGAGGCACTAAATTATAATGTCAATATCTCAGATTACGTTTGTATGTTATTTTTATGCGAGGAGTGTGTCTGCGTGCATTCGCCAATTAATGAGGTGACATAGTAGTATCGGTACAGTAGTGTCGAAC